GAACATCCGTAGCATCTCCATTAGCGTTCCATTGAAGCGTTCTACGAGCCCTTGCGTCTGCGGGTGGTACGCCGCCCCTTACAACTTCTTGATCCCCAGCGTTCGTATAACGACCTGGCCAGATTCGACGTGAAGTTGGATCCTCGATCACTCAGTAGGCGTTTCAGTACGCCATGTCGACAGATAACACCCTCTATCATATTGTTCACGAAGGAAATCGTGTCGAGCGACGCGACAGCGAACGCCTCGACCCACCGCGTGAAATAGTCCACGAACACCAGGATGTACTTGTTTCCTCGGGGTGTCACGACCAGGGGGCCCATAGCATCCACCATGAGCAACACGAACGGACCCAACAAGTCCTGAACTGGCATCCGTTGCATTAACCCAGCTCTCCAAGGCCTATGACCCTTGCCACCACCGCATATAGAACACTCGCGCACGAACTCAGCCATGTCTCTCTTCCAACCGTGCCAATAGGCGTGTCATCTTACCTTGTCAGCAGTCTTGGTCTTCCCCAGGTGAGACGAGAATATGTCGGCGTGACAAAAGTGTAGGACCGTCTCGATGAACGGCAACGGCACAGCAGGAATGCAGATCGTCCTCATCGGACCAGAGCGCGCACCCAAGTGGACAAGCCTCATCAGGACTCCGTTCCTCATCACGTAGTGGGGTGACATCTTCAGCACACTGACCCTTAATTGTGGATCGAGTGCTAACGCTCCATCTTGCAGGAACACCTTCAAAGCCCTCATCCATGGCACGTGTTCTAGTTCTTCTACAAACTAGTCACAATCCAACCCGAATACGTCCACAGCATACGGGTGCATCAGAGGAGTCCCACTCTGAAGATCCTCTTCTTGTCCCGCTTGCGTGAGAGGCTCGTCCGGCACCGGCGATCCATTCCTCGGCGTTACGTCGCCAGGAACCGTGGTCTCGAGGTGCTCCCCGGCTGGGACGACACCCTCTCCGGCGTTCCTAACGATCGTTCCTCCGGGATCCGGGGTTCCTTCCTGTATTCGTGTTACTCCAGGACTCGGCGTTACGAGGTCGGCCTCATCCCCCGCCTCTTCATTGAGGAGGTCGGCCACCCGGATAGCGGCTACTCCACCGACGTCCGGTTGATGGTACAGCCTCGACAAGCCGTCCACATGACCCATCGACGCTCCCGGCCAGTGGTGCACCTTGAATCGTAACTGGGACAGTTCCATAGCCCACCGTGCCAACTTGGCGTTCGACGCCCTCGTATTCTCACCAAAGATCCACGTGAGCGCCTGATGATACGTAAACAGGTCGAACTCGGCATGGTCTAGGTAGCACCTGAACTTACGCGTGGCCCACACGATTCCCCAACATTCGATTCCCGTTGTTCCACTCGTCTTGTAAATTCAGTTCCGCTGGGAGCCCACCAGCATCTTACTCGCATACGCGATCGCTCGGTCACGCCTGTCGACCTCCTGCATCAGACATGCTCCTACGGCCAAGTGCGACGCATCCACGTAGAGTTTGAACCGTTCCCTGAAATTAGGGTACACGAGACGAGGAGGCTTCACAAGTGCACGTTGGCGTTGTTGGAACGTCACTTCGCAGTCATCGTCCCACGAGAACTCCACCCCTTTTTTTCTTCAGGCGTTCTAATGGAGCTGCAACCGCTGCGAAGCCCGGTATATAACGCCGAAAGTAACTAGTCAATCCCAGGAACGCCCTGACCGTATGCAGGTCATGCGGCCTCTCGATGTTCATCACCGCCTTCGCTTTCTCAGGATTAGGCAGGATTCCTGTTGGAGTCACGATGTGGCCTAGGAACGCCACCTGGTCGCGTCCCCAGTGATACTTCTTCATCTTCAGTTTGAGTCCGGCATTCTTGATGCGTTCCAAGACCTGGCGTACTCGCACTAAATGAGTAGGAAAATCGTCACTAAAGACGACACAGTCATCTAGGTAGACCAAACATATCCGCCACTTGAGATCAACGAGGACATCAATCGCTGGAAAGCTGGAACGGCATTGCACAGACCAAACGGCATGACAAGCCACTCATATAATCCACACTTGCTCGTGAACGCCGTCTTCTCCACACTGTCTGGGTCCATGGGAACGTTCCAATATCCTGAGGAAATATCCATCGTAGAGAAGAGTTTGACGTTCCCCAGAACGTCCAAGATGTCGTCAATCAACGACATCGGGTAGCTTCCTTCACCGTGACGGCGTTCAACTTTCTGTAATCTATACAGAACCGAATACTGCCGTCGGTCTTCCTTATCATAAGTACAGGACTCGCCCACGGGCTCGTTGAAGATCTGATAAGACCAAGGTCTAGGTACTCTTTAATCTCAGACTCCACAACGTCTCCTTCAGCCTTCAAAACCCGGTACGGGGCTGCTTAATCGGCGCATGTACTCCACTGCCAATGATGAACCTCAGGAGTTCCGTCCTCCCAGGCTTCTTTGAGGTCTCGACGAACAAATCTCGCATGTCCTTCAGCATCTCCACGAAGAGTCTCCGCTGATCCGGCCCTAACGATGAGTCTTGGAAGTTCACCTCAAAGCCATCGTCGTCTTCGTCCTTCATCGCCGCGGTCATTTCAGCTTCTTCCGTCCCAACCCGAGTCTCGGTGTTCCTATTAGAGGCGCTTAGTACCGCACTGATGTTTTTCGGCGTTCCCTCCCGCTCTGGTACTTCAGCCGAGAAGGCCGACTCTGGCACGACAGTCACAGCAGCTAGGTATGTTCCTGACTCGACTTCCACCTCTTCTATAGAAGCGTTGCACACCTCGACCAGCACTGTTCCATTTGTCACCGTGCACAGCGTCCGAGCGACTCTCAGCGAATCGTCCGCTCATGGAACGCCCTCTACTAGCACGACTGACTTGTCCCTCACGGTTCCTCGAACACTTGACCGCACGAGAGCTTGGTGACCCGGTTCCAGCCGTACTGACGACGATATCGTGGCGGAATATGTCTGCTCTACCCTCGCCACGCCTAAGGGTATCACGTCCCCTGTTCCTTTCAGCGTCATCGTCAGCTCTTCGAGGTCTACCACTGCACATAACGCCTTCAACGAATCCGTTCCAAGGATCGAATCCACGAACAGGTGGTCGGTTACTACGAAAGGAAGCGTCTTCGCCAGCGTTCTGAGTGTCACCGGAAGGTCAATCACTCCAGTGACACGGATCAAGTGCCCGGGTACGCTGTCTAGCGTTCCAATGTAGGGCCTGAGTGGCTCCAAAGCACGCCCAAGCCGCCTCAGCACTCTTTTGTCGACCAGACTCGCTATGGCACCCGTGTCTGCCAGCATTTCCGACGGACAGCAGTCGATGTAACCATCCGATAGGGCCTGCATACCCCCCCCC